GAACCGGGGTCTGGTTATCATAACGACTTGCATTATCATAATTACACCCACTCGCATAATTAATACGATTACCTCTCGAATTGGCATAATTAAAATGTGCATAATTACATAAATTAACATATTTCCGGATAATTACACATTTGGCCAAATTTCATTTAATTATTATTATTTTCACTGAATATTCATAACCCACATATACAACATAATAATTTCACCCACGCACGCATACAACATAACAAATTTTCATAACCCAACATATACAACAGGAGGGGCTTATCTAAATGTGGTAGTCAGGGACTGAAACGGTGGGGGGGGGGGCTAGAAGGGAGGGTACAATTGGAGAACCTCAATCGGGGTTACGGCCGATGTTGGCTGCCAAATCCAAAATAGCAGTACTGTTAAACGCTCTTGTCTCTTGGATTTCTCCTCACTTGATACAGTAAATTTAGCTGTGACGGTCCCACCTGAAGACGGAGACTTGTGTTGCCTCCGAAACGTCGTGATTTAATTGAGTTATTTTCATTTATTATTTTATACCTACGTGACTTTACCGAAAAAACCTAAGAGTATGAATCCTTGCAGTCACGAAAGCTTCAAATCTCGAATGTGGGTCTAGTGGTTGAAGTACCGTATTCTCCCGCATATAAGCCGCGGGGTATACCACTTTTTACAAACAAAACAAGACCCTGCGGGGTATATGGAGGTGTGGGCTATCCCAAAAATATTTTACACGTGTGACATGTCATAACTCATTAAATGTTTTCTTGGTAAGACTATCCACTATGCAACACTTACCTTTGACTAAAGCACTGCTGAATAAACCACTCGCACTAAAATTGCACATGTTATCAAGTTTTAAATAAATTGTTTATACAGTTAAACGACAATGTTTGAAGTGCGTGCACTGTTTACCGGCGACGGGAGAGCTGGGGGGAGAAAGAGGTGGGGGTTGGTGGCGAGGCGACGGCGCTACCGTAGTGCCGCTATTATCTGCGCAGTGCGCAATCTACCAGTGCTAAAACTGTACTTACGTATCTAACACGTTCCTTCGGAGTGGGCAGGTAGGAACTTGGTTGGACAACGCATTTGTGCACGACAGAAAGCTCGCGGTCACGTGACGCACTTGTTTGGGAGGGGCTATGCACGACAGACAAATAATCCCTGGTGGGCAGTGTGGAACCTACCTGTACCAGTTATGTTTTACTTATTTATTGGATATTTACTTTTGTTACCTATTTACTGTTTTAAGTTCACTCGTTTCCGGTTAGTTTGTTTTCTTTGTGCACGTTATGATTTTAATGTTAGCAATTGATAGTGGAATGTATTACAAATGTAAACTTCGTATTAATATGATGGAATTAAGCTGCGGTAACGACGTTAAATATATTAGTGCATGCGGGGTATATGGCGGTGCGGGCTATCTGCATTTTTTTACACAAAACGCTATTTTTTAGGGGTATATGTGTCTGCGGGTTATATGCGGGAAAATACGGTAATCACTTGATATAGATTGCACTGGTTTGTAAAGTCAAATTAATGCATCATGTGGTAGGTTTATCCAATTCCAATTTTGGTACCGTATGATCAATAATTCACCTTTCGGAAGGGGTGATGTAATTTTATCCAAGGATCCATTTTATATGTGTGCTACTTGGTGGTCTATAGCAACACATCAGGAGTAACATTTTTGTTACCTTGAGAAGAAATGATGAGTGTGATACATTCAAAAGTGCCCGGGTCCGATACAGCAGTAATTTGAATGCATGGTAAGTAATGTAATTGTTCACATACACTGCCACAACTCCTCCTCTTGATTGTCTGTCTCATCGGAATATAATTATTTCCACCAAATACACAATAACAGATGCACCACCACCACAACACACAACAACAGATACACAACACCAGATACACAACATTAGGATGCACCACCACCCGTGCCCCCTACTGTGCCAAATTGCTGCATTTTAGTCACCTGGTGCTCTGCTCGTTGTTATGAGCCTCGCTCCTCTGCCCTCCGCTGTTGCTGGAGGGCGACTGCCTCCACCTGCCCAGTAGCAGCGTCCTTCACGAACCTCCTCCTCCAGAGGCTGATCTTGAAACCAATCGAACCAGTCAGTGGCAATTCCACTCAGCTCCATATCCTCCTGTACCACATCAGCTCCATCTCTTCTCCAGCCTGTGTCACTCACTCACCTTCTCACTCACTCACGCATCAGTCTATCTCTTCTCCAGCCCGTGTCACTCACTCACCCTCTCACCCATCAGTCCATCTCTTCTTTAGCCCGTGTCACTCACTCACCCTCTCACCCAGTCACTCACCCACTCACCCATCAGCTACATCTGTTCTCCAGCCCATGCCGTACCCATTTATCGCCCTCGATCCGGACAAACAGAAGCTGGTTTGGGCATACGGTGGGCTGGGCCTTAGCCACTCATTCACCCACCCACTGTGGGGCACTGCTGTTAATGGGCACAGGCTTTAAAGATGGCCCAAAACGTCAAACGGCCAGCAACAAACAGCACTATCAAAGTGAGCACGGATAATAGTTCACACGTTCCTTGCATCATCGCCTCCCAACCTCATTCGAGCGCCCGCACAATGCAATACATTTTTTAAAAAAAATTCAAACATCTGGTGAATATAGTGGCCTCTCGTGGCTGTAGGGTTCAACGTGAAACAGCTATGTATGTTGAACATCTCTCGCACCGTGCTGATCGGAGGCTCGGGGAAGGACATCAAACTGTATACAAAAAGCAGTTCTCATGAAATTTAAAAGTGCATAGCTCCAGTGGTTTCCTGATATTGGAAGAGCGTTCCAGACGGCCGCAGAGGCGCATCTGGAAGCACCGGGCAACGCGGTGACCGTCTTTGTTCAACGGTTCGCCATAAGCCAGACTTTGTGTGATGGTTTACACTCCTTGAGATTAGCGAGGTGTTGTGGTTAGTTTGTTACAATCACTTTGTGTGTAGTGAGTGCAACCGGCGCCAATGCAGCTCGTTGAGCACTGGACGGACACGGTCAGATGTTGTAGCAGTACCCCGTCATGACACGTGCCAGGCAATGTTGTACACGCTGCAGCTTGCCAGACGTCCCGTAGAGTAGCGATTTGCAATAATAGAGCCTTGTCTACAATATGATGCTACACGCCACCGCGTTGGCTGTCACGACTCAATAGTGGTGGAATGTGTCGTGAAGCCCTGATATGAACATTTGAGGACCTGACAAAATTTTGCATGCGGTGATCAAATTATATATTTTGATTATGGTGCTGAGGCTCTTTAGATGTGGAGGAAACTGAGTCCTGGAGTCCGTGAGCACCACACCTGATCCTCCCACTAATGTTTTCCGCCTAAGCCCGAGTGCCGTCCAGCGGAAATCTCCTTACTTTCCTGGATTCAGCGGCGTCTCGTTTCGTGCAAACCACACGCGTGCACCGCGGTTACCGAGGCTCTCCATAACCAACTTTGACTTGACTGTGGTGTACAGTCGTGCGTTATCACCACGTCCGTGGAACGTGATGTCATGTGATGAGACGACGTCGGCGATCGGAGAGAGACGTTTGTTCAAAATAGGAAGGGCCCGAGGATGGACCACTATGGTACACCGGCTAGGTACGGCACAGGCGATGACTGTTCGTCGCCCGGCTTGACGAACTGCGATCGACCGTATTGAGTAGCTACAACTCAATCCACCCCAGTGCCGTACCCGATACACTGAACCTTAGCCACCCGATGAGTATCTCATGGTCGATGGTGTAGAAGGCGGCTGAGAGATTAAGGCCAACCAACGCTGCGGCGTGCTAGTCATCCGTAATGTTGTAGAGGTCATCAGTGATCTTGTAGAGGTCATCGGTGATCTTGTAGAGGTCATCGGTGATCTTGTAGAGGTCATCGGTGATCTTGTAGAGGTCATCGGTGATCTTGTAGAGGTCATCGGTGATCTTGTAGAGGTTATTGGTGCTGTGGCACTTCTGGTACGCCGACTGCAATGGGGTTGAATCTGCCCGTCACAGCTATGTGGGGATGGAGCGATCGCTTGAGACGAAGGCACGCCGTGACCTCTGATGTCGTACTCAGATTTGAGATTGGGGACGACAGTTTGCGGGGTCTCTCTATAAATATTTATGCTAGCAGAAAGTACCCGGCGTTGCCCGGGTCTTAAAAATATTTCAAAACTACTCTTAAAAATCTAACAGCAGTGCGTACTGTGGTGGTACCTATGATTACAGCAGTGCATACCGACTGTGGTGGTACCTGCTCTAATTACAGCAGTGCATACCGACTGTGGTGGTACCTGCTCTGATTACAGCAGTACATACTATGGTAGTACCTACTATCACTACAGTAGTACATGCTGACTATAGCAGTATTTATCGACTGTATAGCACAAAGTACTCACCTGACAGTGTGGCGTGGTGAGGCCTAGTGCTGTGCAGAGCCTCCGGCCTCACCTAGATTGTCCAGCCGGCCGAGGTGGCACCTTGGCAGGCTGGGGCTGGGCTGCTACCCCTGCCCCCCCTGCAGCCACGATCTCCCCGGCCGCTCTGCAGTAATATCTACGGCCTATAGTGGTACCATCTAGCGACTGTATCTACGAGTAACTGCACGCATCGGGGTGGGGGGGACATTACACAGTGAAGAATTTATGTCAGCGTTTATTGTATTTTTATAGCATTTTTAACGCAAAAGAAAATGTCCCGCTCACTCCCACCGAAGGCGTACGACTTGGCATGGGCCGTTCCCTTCACCAAAGGTGCGTGAGTTGGTACGGTTGTGCAGGCGTTATAAATAAATCAAATAGAAGCGCACAAAAATCTCACAAACTCGCTAATTAAACTAATTAAAAGTTGACGGATGTGAAAAAGGAATAGTGCTTGCTCACCGCGGGGCTTACGGCGTGGTACCTGCTATTTTTTCTTTACATAAACTCCACCGTTGGAGAGCCAGGCGCGCGACCACACACAAACCCACATAAAAACCCACACACAAACCTCGCCACAATTTTTTACTTTTATTTTTATAGATTGACTCAGGGCAACATTTTTTGGGAGAGGTGCTACCTGCTCTATTTCGACACCGGTCTGGGGGAAGCAAACCCCTCGTTCAACTAAAGAATTTGCCGCGTGGACAATCGGCAGCGCAGGGCCAACGTCTCAGCACGATTGCAGAATGGACAGCGCGAATGCAGTCGAGTTGCGGCGTCTTCATTTGGCAGCCGTGGCGATGAACATCGACGCCCCGCCTCCTGCCACCGACGTCGACGGTGCCAGGGTCTCGAGTATTTTTTTGCATCGGGCCCCAGGTTGATAAAAACTCAGAGGGCAGGCCGGGAGAACGCTGTTACCTCCGTCAAGTGAGAAACCGCCACCTCGATCTTCACTCTTTAAATTGGCGAAGAACGTCACGAGAGCCGTGCACCGACCCCGGGTTGACCGGTTGATGGGCGGTCGCAGTGCAGCGGAACCCTTCGCGACGCGCCATGGAGGCACGGAGGGGTTGCGAGCTGATTAATTAACGTTTAAGTCATGTTATTATTTTTTACACAAATTGCGCCTCCAGTGATGCAGGGTGACCGTGACACGAGGAATATCTGTGAGTCACTCGTAGGTCTATATGCGAGTCTGTGGGTCTGTGTGAGTCTATGGGTCTCTGAATGAGTCTACATGTCTCTGAGTGCGTCTATGGGTCTGGAACAACAACCTCCGAGGCACCCAATGACCTTGCACCTGAATTAGCTCCCCAGCGAGCGGAGCGAAATGTCGGACATCATGCCAAACTACACGCCGGAAAGATACGTGCTAACCACACGCAAGCGACATGCGGGTCATGCAGCCTAAAAATTGTAGCGCCACCAAGCCTCGCTTGAAAAACACATGGCACTGTGTTGAGAGGGGAAGGGCGAGGGGGGGCTCTAGCAGGTGGAGTGAAAGACCCCCCCCACCCGGGGGGAGCCCCCCCCGTGCCCCCCCGTTGCGGTGGCACCGCCGACGATGAGGCGGTTGTACTCGTCCACGGCTCGCTCCGTGGGCAGCACGAGCAGCGTAACCCCGCGGGCGCGGACAAAGTCCTGGGTGGCGCGGGGCACCTGCACGGACCCACGGTGAGCACGCTACAACTACTACTCCTGACCACTACTACTACTACTAACTACTACTAATAACTACTACTGCTAACTACTTATTTTAACTAGCATGAGCAGCGAAACCCCGTGGGCATGGACAAAGTCCTGGGTGGCACGGGGCACCTGCATGAACCCAAGTTGAGCACGCTACAAATATTCATAACTACTACTAACTACTAGTACAGCTACTATTACTTACTACTACAAAGTACAACAGTTACTACAACCACTACGACTACTACAGCTAACCACTACTACAGCTACTGCTTCTTTTGTTAACTACTACAACTACTACTACAGATACTACTAACTACGACTCCTACTACAGCTACTGCTAACTACTACTCTTAACTGCTACTACGACTACAACTACAACAGAAACAACAACTACAACAGAAACAACAGCCATCGACGTTCGCCACTGAGTGGCGGTGACGTCACCATGGCACCTGTGCCAAGCCAGGTGCACTTTGAGCCCACGTGAAGTGTGGAAGACACTCTGACAGGTCACAGGACAGACCCAGGTGCCATGGGTTAGCTGACTGAGATGACTGGCAGATGAACCACCACCTGTGCCCCCTACTGTGCCAACTTGTGTTTTATCCACCCGGCACTCCGCTCATTGTTGTGAGCATCGCTCGTCTGCCCTCCGTTGTTGCTGGAGGACGACTGCCTCCAACTGCCCAATAGCGACCTTCACGAGCCTCCTCGACAAAGACCGATCTTAACACCGCTGGTACCAGTCATCGGAAAATCCACTCAGCTCCACAACCTCCTGTACCGCATCAGTCAATCTCAGTGGCGGCTCCTGCAAAATCTCTCAGGGGGGGCAAATGTCTGGATGATTGATAAGGATAAGGTCCACCCATGCAATGAATAAATTAACAGCTTAAGCATGTAAAGGCAACTTCACTTCTTTAATATTAATGAAAAATAAAGTGACTCTTACAATACATCTTGTTTGTTTATATACTCACTATTAAAACAAACCACTCAAGTTTATTTTATTAAAGATTCCACTAGGTAGCGATAAATTATATTGTTGGATGAAACGTGCTTACGTATGATGACGTAAGCACGTATGATGACGTAAGCACGTTAGGGCTTGCCCTCCCGGAAGCCGTAGAGAATGCATTGGAGCGCCCCCGTTCGAAAAAAAACATCTTTCAATGTAAGTCTATGGGGCCACTCGGGGCGATTCTCAGCCGGAGTGAAATCGCCCCAAAAGAGGCGGTACTCCACAGAACGTGACATGACGCTGATTGGACTATATCCAGAGGCTGACAGTGACGGCTAGCGTGACTCTGTGGTTGAATGACATTGGTGGTGCGTCGCCCAATCGCCCTAATGAAGAAACCGCCCCTGGTCAATCTCTTCTCTAGCCCGTGTCATGCCCATTTAGCCCCCTCTATCCAGCCAAACAAAAGCTGCTTGGGCATGCGGTGGTTGGGCATGCAGGCTACATGACCCAGCCAACACAGCGTCGCTTACTGGAACTCACTGATGGGACTTTCTCCAGATACTTCCAAGATCTGCGAGTTCCTCACACAATCCGGCCTGGTTAAACCCAGGATAAATCGTAGGCAGGCCAGCCTGACTTTATAATCGGCGAAAATGTTCCTTTAGGGGGGTCCACGTTTCACAAGCATAGAGAATGGAGGGCATGACCCATGGCTGAGAAGACCCGAAGCTTCATGTGGAATGACAGGCCAGGTAACTTACACACAGCATTACGCAGCCTATTAAACGATAATTCTGCCCGACTGATTCTGAGTAAGACCTGTGCTGTCAAACCGGAGCTGGTCAAAAGCACACTGCCCAGGTACGTAAACCTCTCCACTCTCTCCACAACTGCCCGATCACCGATTGGGAGTTGCGGGATTGAAGTGTTTGATAACACAAAATACCCAGGCAGGTGCTTAGTTTTGGTGGGGATGATGGAAGGCCCCACCTCTTAGTGGCAAGCTCCAGGTTAAGCAGCAGCACCTCCAACTACTCAGAGTAAGCAGCAATAAGCAAATCGTTAGCATACATATATAACATTATTGATCAATAGGGAGCCCCGGGCATCGATCGGCCTCCCAATGTATCTTTACCAGATGGAGATTCCTCCAGCACAGCCATGGAAGGCTTCTCGAACTACGTGGTCAAAGATAATGCTTAATAATGTGGGAGTCAGAGGAGATCTCTGCCGCACCCTAAGATGAACAGGGAATGGCTCCGACTCCCAGCCACGTGGTTTTACCCGGGCCTGCCCACCATCCTGAAGGTCCTCAATGAATATGAGCAGGTGGCCGGCACTCCGCCCAACCACCTTTGTCTCCCTAGTGGCGACATATTTACACACCGCACCAAGTACTCATGTGAGGCTGAGTCGAACTAGGGGAGGCCCAATACCAGGTCAGACATAAATCACTGGTGTTGGCTGCGAGCGGGAATAGAACTCGGGTCTCTGCCGGGTTCAGAGCACAGCGTAGTGCTAACCACACACACACCTCATGCGCCGTGCCGGCATTCACAGGCACTGCTACCAGCTAACAGCACTTGCCCCCAGAAAGCTGGGTGGACTACCCGGGGCACATTTGTCTATGTGTGTGTGTTGCACTCATGGGCTGAAGAAGAGATGGAGCTGATGCGGTACAGGAAGATGTAAAACAGAGTGGACCTACCGATGACTGGTACCAGCGGTGTCAAGATCGGCCTCTATAGAGGAGGAGGATGCTCGTGAAGGACGCTACTACTTGGCAGTTAGAGGCAGTCACCCTCCAGCAACAATGAAGGGCAGAGAAACAATGCTCACAACAACGACCGGAGCGCCTGGTGGCTAAAACACAGAAAGTTGGCACAGTAGGGGGCACAGGTGGTGCATCGGCCAGTCATCTCAGTCAGTCGACCCATGGCACCTGGGTATGTCCCATGACCTCCTGCAAGCAGAGAGCCTTCGACACTTCACATGGCCTCGATGTGCACCTGGCCTGGCACAGGCACCGTGGTGACGTCACCGTCACTCAGTGGCGAATGGCTGTTGTTGGAATTATTGTTGAGTTTGTTGTTGTTGCGCTCACCTGCAGGGCTTGGTTCATACCGCATCCGATCACAAGGGTCTCAATGCCGGCATCCAGCACCTCCTGCAAGTCGGCCGGCTGCACGCCGGGCCGGTGCTGCAACATAGCATATTGGGGAGTGGACGCCCCTTCGATTGCATGCAGCTGAGTGGCTTAAGATGTGGATGTCTCCTCTGCAATTGGTTGCAGAGGAGACATCGACTTACTTAAAAGGTGGGACGTCACTTTTCGAGTCGATGGGTCTCTGTGTGAGTCTACAGGTCTCTGTGTGAGTCTATGGCTCTGTGACTCTATAGGTCTCTGTGTGACTCTATAGGTCTCTGTGTGAATCTATGGGTATCTGTGTGACTCTATAGGTCTCTGTGTGAATCTATAGGTCTCTGTGTGACTCTATAGGTCTCTGTGTGAATCTATGGGTATCTGTGTGACTCTATGGGTCTCTGTGTGAATCTATGGGTCTCTGTGTGACTCTACGGGTCTCTGTGTGAATCTATGGGTATCTGTGTGAATCTATAGGTCTCTGTGTGACTCTATGGGTCTCTGTGTGAATCTATGGGTCTCTGTGTGAATCTATGGGTATCTGTGTGAATCTATGGGTCTCTGTGTGACTCTACGGGTCTCTGTGTGAATCTATGGGTATCTGTGTGAATCTATGGGTCTCTGTGTGACTCTACGGGTCTCTGTGTGAATCTATGGGTCTCTGTGTGACTCTATAGGTCTCTGTGTGACTCTATAGGTCTCTGTGTGACTCTATGGGTCTCTGTGTGAATCTATGGGTCTCTGTGTGACTCTATAGGTCTCTGTGTGACTCTATAGGTCTCTGTGTGAATCTATGGGTAAGTCTATGGATTCCCCAGACTTGGTAGCTGCTAGAACTACTGCTGCTACTACTAATGCTACTGCTATGACTACGACTGCTGCTAATATTACTACTACTACCGCTACTACTGCTGCTACTACCGCTACTACCGTATTTTCCCGCATATAACCCGCGGGGAAGACCACTTTTTAGAAACAAAACAGAACCCTGCGGGGTATATAGAGGTGCGGGCTATCCCAAAAATATTCTACACGTGTGACATGTCTTAACTCGTTTAAATGTTTCATGGTAACACTTACCTTTGACTAAAGCACTGCTGGATAAACCACCCACACTAAAATTGCATGTTATCACGTTTTAAATGATTCGAGTTGTTTGTGCAATGAAACGACAATGTTTGAAGTGGGCGCACTTTGTTTACCGTAATACTTTCAGTGGCTGTAGGGGGGTGCGAAAGTTTCAGCTCAGGCCATGGATTGCACAATGGGGAAGGGCCTTAACAAGCGTCTACTAGACACGGAATCATAATTGCCGAGTCCCCTAGGCCGCTGCTATCGGCTGAGCACTATACAGTCGCGACCATGAGCTTTGTTTCACACTTCCAGTGGCTTTGTTGGCAGGAGGCAAGTGCGTTACCGCAGTGCCGCTATTGTCTGCGCAGTGCGCCATCTACCAGCGCTAAAGCTGTACGGGGCTAACTACCGGTCCAGTAGCTGTAATATGATGAGGTCGAATGCTGGTAAGCCTAACAGTTCGCTTACTCACTTATCTACCAGTTTTGTTTTACTTATTTATTGGATATTTACTTTTGCTACTTATTTACTGTTTAAAGTTCACTCGTTTCCGGTTAGTTTGTTTTCTTTGTGCACGTTATGATTTTTATGTTAACAATTGGAATGTATTACAAATGTAAACTTTGTATTAATATGATGGAATTAAGCTGCGTTAACAACGTTAAAGATATGAATGCATGCGGGGTATATGGAGGTGTGGGCTATCTGAAATTAGTTTTACACAAAACGCAATTTTTGCGGGCTGTTTGTGTCTGCGGGCTATATGCAGGAAAATATGGCACTACTGCTTCTGCTACTAGTACTGCTAATAATACTGCTACTACTGCTGCTGCGAATATTGCTGCTACTAGTACTGCTGCTACTAATACTGCTGCTAATACTACTGGTACTACTGCTGCTCTCACTTCTCCTACTATTAATGCTACAACTACTGCTGCTACTACTACCGCTAATAGTACTGATACTACTGTTACTTCTGCTGCTACAACTACTGCTATTACTCCTGCTACTAATCTTGCTACAACTAGTCCTGCTACTGCTACTTCCCTTGCTACTACTCCTGTTACTGCTCCTGCTACTACTACTGCTGATACTGCTACTACTACTCCTGCTACTACTACTGCTACTCCTGATACTGCTACTACTACTCCTGCTAATGCTACTACTCCTGTTACTACTCCTCCTGCGACTGCTACTACTACTATGCCTGCTACTACTACTGCTACTCCTGCTAATGCTACTACTCCTGCTACTACTCCTCCTGCGACTGCTACTACTACTGCTACTACTGCTACTACTCCTCCTGCGACTGCTACTACTACTATGCCTGCTACTATTACTGCTGCTACTACTGTTACTACTACTACTCCTGCGACTACTACTACTTCTACTACTTCCGCTACTACTACTGCAACTCCTGCTACTCCTGGTACTACTTCTGCTACTGCTGCTACTGCTACTCCTGCTACTACTCCTCCTGCGACTGCTACTACTACTGCTACCACTACTGCTACTACTACTGCTATTACTCCTGATACCACTACTGATAATACTACTGCTACTCCTAGTACTACTGCTGCGACTGCTACTACTACTGCTACTACTCCTGCTACCACTACTGATAATACTACTGCTACTCCTGGTACTACTGCTGCTACTGATACTACTACTGCTACTCCTGTTACTACTCCTCCTGCGACTGCTACTACTACTATGCCTGCTACTACTACTGCTACTCCTGCTACTACTCTTGCGACTGCTACTACTACTGTGACAGCTACTCCTCTTGCGACTGCTACTACTACTGCTACTAGTCTGCTACTACTACTGATAATACTACAGATACTACTTCTAATGCTGCTACTACTGCTGCTACTCCTCCTGCGACTGGTACTAGCACTGCGACTGCTGCTGCTACTGCTGCGACTGCTGCTGCGACTGGTACTAGCACTGCGACTGCTGCTGCGACTGCTGCGACTGCTCCTGCGACTGGTACTAGCACTGCGACTGCTGCTGCTGCTACTACTGCTGCTGCTGCTGCTACTGCTGCTGCTGCGACTGGTACTAGCACTGCGACTGCTGCTACTGCTGCTACTGCTGCTGCTGCGACTGGTACTAGCACTGCGACTGCTGCTGCTACTGCTACTGCTGCTGCTGCGACTGGTACTAGCACTGCGACTGCTGCTGCTGCTACTACTGCTGCTGCTGCTGCTACTGCTGCTGCTGCGACTGGTACTAGCACTGCGACTGCTGCTGCTGCTACTACTGCTGCTGCTGCTGCTACTGCTGCTGCTGCGACTGGTACTAGCACTGCTACTGCTGCGACTGCTGCTGCGACTGCTGCTGCGACTGGTACTAGCACTGCGACTGCTGTTGCGACTGCTGCTGCGACTGCTGCTGCGACTGCTGCTGCTGCTGCAGGGGCAAGGAGGAGGATGAGGGACTGACGTCTGTGCCGGTCTCCCGCCAGTCCCAGGCTCGGCTGCCGCCAGGCCACACTTTGCAGTCCTTGTAGACGCAGCTGGCGCCACAGACACGCAGCTCCCCCCACCGCAGCGCCTCCACTCGCGGAGATGCCATGCGGGGACACTGACACACACACACGGGAGGTGGACACTGACACACGAGGTGGACACACACACACGAGGTGGACACACACACGAGGTGGACACTCACACACACGAGGTGGACACTGACACACACGAGGTGGACACACACACGAGGTGGACACACACACGAGGTGGACACTCACACACACGAGGTGGACACTCACACACACGAGGTGGACACACACACACACGAGGTGGACACTCACACACACTAGGTGGACACTCAGACACACGAGGTGGACACTCACACACACGAGGTGGACACACACAAACACGAGGTGGACACTCACACACGAGGTGGACACTGACACACACTAGGTGGACACTGACACACGGGAGGTGGACACTGACACACACGAGGTGGACACACACACGAGGTGGACACACACACGAGGTGGACACTCACACACACGAGGTGGACACTCACACACACGAGGTGGACACACACACGAGGTGGACACTCACACACACTAGGTGGACACTCACACACACGAGGTGGACACTGACACAGACACACGGGAGGTGGACACTCACACACGAGGTGGACACACACACGAGGTGGACACTCACACACGAGGTGGACACTCACACACACGAGGTGGACACTCACACACGAGGTGGACACTCACACACAGTAGGTGGACACTCACACACGAGGTGGACACTCACACACACGAGGTGGACACTCACACACACGAGGTGGACACTCACACACACTAGGTGGACACTGATACACACTAGGTGGACACTGACACAGACACACACTAGGTGGACACTTGACACACACGAGGTGGACACTGACTGATTGACTCCTCACCACTTCGCGAGGCTTCCTCCGAGAAAAACACGTGGGGGTCTGGCGGAAGTGACGTCACGGAGTGCCGCCTGGGGGGGGGGGCACGGGGGGCGGGGGAGTACGGGGGAGAGGGGTCACGTGGGAGGGGTCGAGCACCTGGGGCGGGATCACGGGGGGGGGAGCACGTGGGGGGGGGGGCACGTGGGGGGGGGGGGGGGAACCACGTGGGGGGTGGGGGCCACGTGGGGGTGGGGGATATGTGAGGGGGTTTGAGCACGTGGGGGTGGTTGAGCATGTCGGGGGGGGGGGGCACGTGGGGGGGGTTGAGCATGTCGGGGGGGGGGGGCACGTGGGGGTGGTTGAGCATGTCGGGGGGGGGGGGCACGTGGGGGGGGGGGGGAGCACGTGGGGGTGGTTGAGCATGTCGGGGGGGGGGGCACGTGGGGGGGGTTGAGCATGTCGGGGGGGGGGCACGTGGGGGGGGGGGAGCACGTGGGGGTGGTTGAGCATGTGGGGGGGGGGGGCACGTGTGGGGGGGGGGGGAGCACGTGGGGGTGGTTGAGCATGTCGGGGGGGGGCACGTGGGGGGGGGGGCACGGGGGGCGGGGGAGTACGGGGGAGAGGGGTCACGTGGGAGGGGTCGAGCACCTGGGGCGGGATCACGGGGGGGGGAGCACGTGGGGGGGGGGCACGTGGGGGGGGGGGGGAACCACGTGGGGGGTGGGGGCCACGTGGGGGTGGGGGATATGTGAGGGGGTTTGAGCACGTGGGGGTGGTTGAGCATGTCGGGGGGGGGGGGCACGTGGGGGGGGTTTGAGCATGTCGGGGGGGGGGGCACGTGGGGGTGGTTGAGCATGTCGGGGGGGGGGGGCACGTGGGGGGGGGGGGAGCACGTGGGGGTGGTTGAGCATGTCGGGGGGGGGGGGCACGTGGGGGGGGTTTGAGCATGTCGGGGGGGGGGGGCACGTGGGGGGGGGGGGAGCACGTGGGGGTGGTTGAGCATGTGGGGGGGGGCACGTGTGGGGGGGGGGGAGCACGTGGGGTGGTTGAGCATGTCGGGGGGGGGGGCACGTGGGGGGGGGGGGCACGTGGGGGGGGTTGAGCATGTGGGGGGGGGGGGCACGTGGGGGGGGGGGGGGAGCACGTGGGGGTGGTTGAGCATGTGGGGGGGGGGGGCACGTGGGGGGGGGGGCACGTGGGGGGGGTTGAGCATGTCGGGGGGGGGGCACGTGGGGGTGGTTGAGCATGTCGGGGGGGGGGGGGCACGTGGGGGGGGGGGGGAGCACGTGGGGGTGGTTGAGCATGTCGGGGGGGGGCACGTGGGGGGGGGTTGAGCATGTCGGGGGGGGGGCACGTGGGGGGGGGGGGGAGCACGTGGGGGTGGTTGAGCATGTCGGGGGGGGGGGCACGTGGGGGTGGTTGAGCATGTCGGGGGGGGGCACGTGGGGGGGGGGGGCAAGTGGGGATGGTTGAGCATGTCGGGGGGGGGCACGTGGGGGGGGGGGGGGAGCACGTGGGGGTGGTTGAGCATGTGGGGGGGGGGGCACGTGGGGGTGGTTGAGCATGTCGGGTGGGGGGCACGTGGGGTGGTTGAGCATGTCGGGGGGGGGGGGCACGTGGGGGTGGTTGAGCATGTCGGGGGGAAGGGCACGTGGGGGGGGGGGAGCACGTGGGGGTGGTTTGAGCATGTCGGGGGGGGGGCACGTGGGGGGGGGGAGCACGTGGGGGTGGTTGAGCATGTCGGGGGGGGGGCACGTGGGGGGGGGGGGAGCACGTGGGGGTGGTTGAGCATGTCGGGGGGGGGCACGTGGGGGGGGGGGGAGCACGTGGGGGTGGTTGAGCATGGTCGGGGGGGGGGGCACGTGGGGGGGGGGGGGAGCACGTGGGGGTGGTTGAGCATGTCGGGGGGGGCCGGGGTTGGGGGCACGTGGGGGGGGGGGGGAGGCACGTGGGGGTGGTTGAGCATGTCGGGGGGGGGGCACGTGGGGGTGGTTGAGCATGTCGGGGGGGGGGCACGTGGGGGGGGGGGGGGGGAGCACGTGGGGGTGGTTGAGCCTGTCGGGGGGGGGGCACGTGGGGGGGGGGGGAGCACGTGGGGGTGGTTGAGCATGCGGGGGGGGGGGCACGTGGGGGTGGTTGAGCATGTCGGGGGGGGGGGGCACGTGGGGGGGGGGAGCACGTGGGGGTGGTTGAGCATGTCGGGGGGGGGGGGCACGTGGGGGGGGGGGAGCACGTGGGGGTGGTTGAGCATGTCGGGGGGGGGGCACGTGGGGGGGGGGGAGCACGTGGGGGTGGTTGAGCATGTCGGGGGGGGGCACGTGGGGGGGGGGGGGAGCCGTGGGGGTGGTTTGAGCATGTCGGGGGGGGGGGCACGTGGGGGGGGGGGGGGCACGTGGGGGTGGTTGAGCATGTCGGGGGGGGGGCACGTGGGGGGGGGGGGAGCACGTGGGGGTGGTTGAGCATGTCGGGGGGGGGGGCACGTGGGGGGGGGGAGCACGTGGGGGTGGTTGAGCATGTCGGGGGGGGGGGCACGTGGGGGTGGTTGAGCATGTCGGGGGGGGGGCACGTGGGGGGGGGGAGCACGTGGGGGTGGTTGAGCATGTCGGGGGGGGGGGCACGTGGGGGGGGGGGAGCACGTGGGGGTGGTTGAGCATGTCGGGGGGGGGGGGCACGTGGGGGGGGGGGCACGTGGGGTGGTTGAGCATGTCGGGGGGGGGGCACGTGGGGGGGGGGGGGGAGCACGTGGGGGTGGTTGAGCATGTCGGGGGGGGGGCACGTGGGGGGGGGGGGGAGCACGTGGGGGTGGTTGAGCATGTCGGGGGGGGGGCACGTGGGGGGGGGGGGGCACGTGGGGGTGGTTGAGCATGTCGGGGGGGGGGGCACGTGGGGGTGGTTGAGCATGTCGGGGGGGGGCACGTGGGGGGGGGGAGCACGTGGGGGTGGTTGAGCATGTCGGGGGGGGGGCACGTGGGGGGGGGGGGCACGTGGGGGTGGTTGAGCATGTCGGGGGGGGGGCACGTGGGGGGGGGGGCACGTGGGGGTGGTTGAGCATGTCGGGGGGGGGGGCACGTGGGGGTGGTTGAGCATGTCGGGGGGGGGGGCACGTGGGGGTGGTTGAGCATGTCGGGGGGGGGGGGCACGTGGGGGGGGGGGAGCACGTGGGGGTGGTGAGCATGTCGGGGGGGGGGGCACGTGGGGGGGGGGCACTTGGGGGGTGGTTGAGCATGTCGGGGGGGGGGGCACGTGGGGGGGGGGGCACGTGGGGGTGGTTGAGCATGTCGGGGGGGGGGGCACGTGGGGGTGGTTGAGCATGTCGGGGGGGGGCACGTGGGGGGGGGGGAGCACGTGGGGGTGGTTGAGCATGTCGGGGGGGGGGCACGTGGGGGGGGGGGGAGCACGTGGGAGTGGTTGAGCATGTGGGGGGGGGCACGTGGGTGGGGGGTAGCACGTGGGGGTGGTTGAGCATGTCGGGGGGGGGGGCACGTGGGGGTGGTTGAGCACGTGGGGGGGGGGGGCACGTGGGGGGGGGGGGAGCACGTGGGGGTGGTTGAGCATGTGGGGGGGGGGGGGCACGTGGGGGTGCTGTATATTTGGAGTCTGCGTTTCTCTTCTCCGTGGGCGCGTGGATTTTCCTCCGGGTCCTCCGTTTTTCCCTCCATATTTAGAATCAACATCACCACGCGTCTTTAGAGTGATGTGGCGGCTACTGTAAATTTCATGTGATGATGATGATGCTTTGGTTGAGCTGCTATCATTTGTGGTGGCCAGGTCGCTTCTGAACAAGAGATACACAGCTCAGTGGGGCCTTTTAAAGTGGTAAAAAAAATTAACCCGTAAAAACAAAGTTTTTCACTATAAATCCTTTATATGCGTGGCGGCGAGAGTCCTCTCGTCCTCTGGCTTGAGATGGCTGCCACCTATGGGTCAGATGATTGCCTGCCACCATTAAGCAATTGGTAATTAAATATTTAAAAAATCCTAAAAAGGGTAAAAATTTGGAAAAAATGTTTCACGAACATTAATTGTCTCGCACAACGAGTCTGTGTGCATAATGTCAGCTCGATTGGATCACGGGAAGTGGGTTAAAAAACGACCGAAAGATTTGCACGGTCGTAAGCGCGCAAGCAAGCAAGCAAGTGAACTTAATATAAAGGATTTAATAAAACAATGTTACTCGTCGTTTCAGTTGAATAGTTTTGCGCAGACTAAGGCTGATCAGAGATTCTGGTTTTTCTGTCGTACGGCTGCTAATGTTAGATGCAGAGACGACAGAGCGATAACAGAGGTTTGTTGGGTTAGATCGTGTAAAAATATAAATGTGTCGTTAAACCCGCCACCACCTGACACAGCCAATTAGTAAGGGTTGTCACGTAAACACAACAAGCCAATTCAGTTCGGTTCATTTCAGTTCATTTATTTGTTATAGCCCTGTGAGTCATTCGGCTCTTGAATCGGGTGCAATCTTCAAGTTACTAAGCGTCCCAGTGGGATGCAAGTCAAACAATAACAACCGTAAGACAATTTATATTAAAGTTATCAGTCTAACTCTGTACTACAACAAACAAATATGGCTAATCCAAAACGTTTTCGAAATCACCAAAATAAAGCCATAAAAACAATGTAACAGTGATCATAGGAACTGTGAATCAAATCTAACAATAAACGATATACAGTGAGGGAAAAAAGTATTTTATCCCCTGCTGATTTTGTACGTTTGCTCACTGACAAAAAAATTATCAGTCTATAATTTTAAAGGTAGGTTTATTTGAACAGTGAGAGACAGAATAACAATTTAAAAAATCCAGAAAAACGCATGTCAAAAATGTTATAAATTGATTTGCATTTTAATGAGGGAAATAAGTATTTGACCCCCTCTCAATCAGAAAGATTTCTGGCTCCCAGGTGTCTTTTATACAGGTAACGAGCTGAGATTAGGAGCACACTCTTAAAGGGAGTGCTACTAATCTCAGCTTGTTACCTGTGTAGAAGTGTTACGTACCGGGGTGTAGCAAGCCATTACGTTACGGTGTCTACATCACGGTCCGTGCGTGGGGTGTCTACATCAA